TCCGCTCTTCCTTTTCGGGTTCTTTAACGTTCAGATCAGTGACTATCATTGGTAAACATAATAGGTATCTGACGAAGGTGGAGGCATACGAAGAAGCGGTCTCCCCAAAATCTTCACTTACCTTTACAGTACGGCAACAAACCACCTGGACGAGAATATCGATCTTGGCACAGCCGATGTCCCCGTGACAATGGCTGGTTACGGGTATGGTCTCCCGATCAGCCGCTTGTACGCTCGGTACTTTGGAGGGGATCTCCAGATCATATCCATGGAAGGATACGGTGAGTCAACTCGTTTCTTAAATCATAACTCGATTGCTTCCACCCCAAGAACTGGAGAACTGTCCTGGTTTGATCATAACCCGGTTTCTGAGAGTTACAGACAATGTTTTTTCAGTTCATTGTATAGCTTCAAGGCCGGGAATTTGGATTCTGAGAAGCGAGTGTATGTTGTTTAATGTTGCAGGGACTGATGCTTATCTCCATTTGTCACGCTTGGGAGATTCACTGGAGGCTTTGTCTTGATCCCCTCTCTCTCTCTCTCTCGGGCATATACATGCATACATACATACATGCATACATACATACATGTCCATGGTTGGGCAGTTAAGTTATGTCAGCATGAGTTGAATAGGTTTCTCAGTTTGGTCATCATGTATAATTCGCTGTGTTTGCTTTCAGTTTTCGTTCAGATTTGAGGTTACATATTCCTTTCAATTCTCTTTTTTCAAATTCTCATATGCCTACTAAAATCTTCGCAATTGTTATCAGTGAAATCGACAGAACAACAGAACAGTGCCCACAAGCTAAATACAAACAAAGGATTTGGTTACTTGCATGGCAAGAAAACACGTGTCCCAAAACTGAGATCTCATACCCTAATCAATCAACGCCTTGTTTGCTTTGATTGCTTTCCCTTTCCCTTCCATTTCTTACTATGAACAGGTCTTTTCGTCTCTTCAATCTCCCTTACCTTACGCTTCCTGCCAATTGCAACAAACAAACGACAATCAAACATACATTACATGCGTGTCTTAATCATTCAATGCCTTGCTTGCTTTTATCATTATGCCTATTTGATTCGATGCCTTGATCTTGAACAGGGCAACAGCCCAAAGGAAATTTAGCATTGTGCAACACGTGCCATATGAAACGAAGAAAATGCCACTGTGACGCATAGACATGAAAACTAACGAATTTAAAACTAGATATGCTCATGAGAAACGTGGGTTTGCCTTTATGACAGAGATTGAGGAGAGGATTTTCTGGGTGTTAAGAAACAATGCTAATAATGTACCTGTATTGAGAAACAGTGGGATCTGAGAGTAGTTCTTCAGTGATACTTGACTTCCTCTCTTTCTTTGTCAGTCTCGTAGAGTAGAACTCTACCGATGGTTCTATCACTGTCCCGACCTGGTTTCGCCCCCAGAGAGAATGGAACATGTTATAAGATTTGGAATGAACCAGAGACCAAGGTTAAAAGTCATTGTCTTGATGGAGTTTTGCTTCTCAAAAGCTTACCTGGAAGTACTTGGGCAGTGACTTTAGATTGGAATCACCCTTCTTGTAGTGCCTCTTTGGATCCACCACAGATCTCATCTAAATACATTTTGAAAGTAAAAAAAAATTATGTTTACAACTTTGGAATTAAAAAAAAAAAAAAGAACACTATTGTAAAGATTTCTCCAAGGCTCATGACACAACACTAGGTTCACGGGTATACATGCACTTGCAAGAACAAAACTCATGGATCATATGATATTTAGTGGCTTCTGAGGTACAGGTTTCAACGAAACATGAAAAAGTTTCGGACTTTGGAGAAATCAATAAAACCACGACACTCACATGGCTTCGCGTGCAAGCAGAATACAACCCAGAATCAGAATGCAACGGCAAATTTTTCCAAACTGAGTCAAACCCGAACGCAAAATCAAAATCCAGAGTACAATAACAAAGAGGCCATTACCTTCAGCAGCTGAAGATCCCTTTTCAACTCTGGCGTCATTGTTGGAGCGGGCATATCAAACCTGTTCAAGGACACAAAACCCTATAATTTTGCCGGAGAATTCATCTTCAACACAGGAGTACCATTCGGGGGAAAGCAAAGTTACCAGCTCGATCCAGCAGTGTCCTGGACTTGCTTCCTAAGCATTCTGTTCAACTTCTTCGGATCATTAGGCGGCAGGCAAAAGCCATCAACGAGTTCTGAAGCAGGCTTCCAAAGCAAACTGCTTTCGCCATGGCTTCTCGCCGTATTACCTGACCCAGGCCCTGTCTTCGTCACGGATGATAAGTCCGGCAGCTTTGGTTCCCATGTAAGACCGATCACTGGTTTACTCTCCGCCATTATCTGAATGGTTATCGTCTCTATGACAAAAGAATACACCTAAATTGGACGCAATCGTCAAAAGTCAGAGTCTATTCAGTATGAACCCTAATTAGAAACGCGAACCAAATCGGAACTCAAAGTTAAAGAGTTCGGAATTTGCTGACCTTAATAGCGAGGAAGAACTTGAAGTGACCAACTAAAAACGGCGGTGAACCTGAAACGGTGAGAAAATATATCACCGTGAATACGACATGATACAGAAGACGAATCTACGATTCAGTTTGGACAAACAGGATCAAAAACCCAATTAAAACCCAATTTTCCCCCGTCGGTTTTGCCGCCAAAATCATTCGTGTTCCGGCAAAACAGGCCGCGATGCTTCGACCTGCGTGATCTTTGGAAAACCAGAGACAACCCCGAGTCTCTCCCCAAATGAATCCGGGCAGTAATCGCTGAATTCTTCCATGAACGTTGGAACTCAAGCTTTCGAAGAGACCAAGGAAGAAGAAGAAGAAAAGGGCTTACCTGGCGATTGAAATCACAGGCGGAGAGAGGGAGTGAGAGAGAAGCCAACGGTGAAGCAGTGGTGTAAATAATGCGGCGGAGGTTTTTTAGTATACCGACGATTCCTTTAGGGTTTGATTAAAATTTTAATTAACCCGGCCCGATAATCAGAAATCCAAAAGGGAATTGGAGTTCAGAACTTTTGTTTCTTTACACTTTTAACCCCTCATTTCTTATTTAACAAATAACCCCTTAACTTTTGTCCGTTTTTTCTTGTCGATGTGTATGTGCCAAACTAGGTGCGACCCAAAAATTTGATCTTCAAATCCAGAAAACCGCCGTTCAGCCCTCGGACCGCCGTTGCCGGTGGCGGAGAAAGGATACTTTCCAATTTAGGAAAGTGTGGTGTGGTTGGAAACAGACGAAGACGGGGCTTAGGGTTTTGATAGATTGTATTTGCTCAGTAATGTTTTTCTTATCGTTTTTCTATCTTTACCTTCTTTTAATGAAATGAAATATATTTTATATATATAATACACTGATTGAATAATTTTATTGGAATGATATGATTAAATAATTCAATTCACAAAATCAAACATGGTTCATGAAATTAGATGCGTGTATATATATATATCCTATTGTATTGAGAAATATTTACAAAGAATAAAATTTATCAGATTGATTCCAACTTGTACCTCTACAAATGTTTTTATTTATGTTTTATGTCACTTATTTAAAAATTCTGGTTATACTTTTGCAGTGGTCCCGTTGATTACGGATTAATTTAATTATAAGATGGGAAAGTCATTGATATTGATAATCACCCTTTTGTCACTGTGCAATTAACGAATACCCACTGGGATTAATACCTTAATTGTGACATTTAGACAACTTGATTAGACCACTTAACCACTGCCAAAATCTCATCGCCGAACCAACATATTGGGTTATGTCGCAACCTCATCTTCTTTGTCTCGTCGGTTCATGTCAATAATTAATAACGATAATATAATCGAAATTTCTTAGCTTTTTATAATATTTGATTTGGGTCTGGTAAGTTGTGCTTATATATTAAAATCCATGGTAATTTCACGTACAATATTTTCTGAAACAGTCCAAAATGATAGTTACGTCGATTTATATTAAAAAAAATACTAATATTTTTGTAATCTAGGTGGATGTTTAGAAACATATACACTTAAAGTTGTTAATTAAGGAAAATTCAGGCTTGTATTTTTTTTTTAAATAACGAATTGAATTAACGATGGTACGTCTCAACGGATTTAGTGTATATCTAGTCATAGTTGAAGAATATGTTTAGGGTCTAATGATAATGAGTGGAGTCATTTTTAATCTAAATCACATATTCAAGACATGCATACGTGTATGCATGTACACACACGTGTGTGTATATATATATATATATGTATATATACAATATATGCAACGTTTTGAGTTTATGCTTTGGTAAATTGATAGTATGGCTCCACCGCTTACACGACAAACAAAGACTGCTCCACGCAAGATGCTCCTTGTCTCTTTGCGTGTTCACTTGTCTTTTTTCATCTCCAACAATTTGAAAAAAAAAAATTGAAAATCTATATTTAAAATATAGTTACAATGGATTTTTAACAAAATGTTTCAGAAAATTGAATCACTTCACTAAATAAAAAATTGGTTGAGAAAGACATTATTGATTTCATCAGCGCAATATAATTTCGTAAAATTTGATATTTATATGATTTTTAGCAAAAAAATATTTCATATGGTGTATATATATTATATACACATATAAATACATACGTAAATACATCTCAACTACGAAGACATGCATCTATACATCCATACATACATGGATACATGCATGCATACATACTCATATATAGATTTCTCTGAGGGTTTGGATGTCTCTGACATTTTGATTCCAATTCACATCTCTCTTATTTTTGTCAACATTTCGCATTTGTTCTGTCTCTTGAATTTAACACCAAAAGAACCAAATATAAAAATAATAATAAAAATAAAAACACCAGAAGAACCGTATTCCCCTTAACTTAAAACTCTGCCAAAATTAAATTGTCGGTTTTTTCACGTCATTTAATATGAAAATACGAAAACAAACCGTACCTTAATTTGGTATGACCACGTTACATTCATTATATATATATATATATATATATCGGTTGGCTTTTTGTACTTTATACAATCATAGAACTTATTTACATACGCACACCTTGTCCAAAAAAAAGTCACAAAGAGACATACGTATTCTCTATACGCGTATTAAATCGAGATGTCGTGACGCGTGGCATGAAACGATTGGTTGTCATAAATAAAAATGACACGTGGTAATTGGTAATGTGGGGCTTTCCCCGCTGACGAAGCTGACTTTTAGAAATGCAATTGATTTATTATCTATTTTAAAATAAATAATACATCAATTGACCAAAAATTACAAAGAGATGTTTTTTTTCCGAGTGACGACTCTTTGATCGTCGGTCGTCACTTGCAAGCTATAAAGACCCATCATGGAGCCATACAAAATTCCATATGGACTAGATAAATAATTGAAAAATAAATTATTATTTACTTTTATTTTGTTTTTTTTTTAAATATTTTTCTGGGAACAGCTGCAAAGTAAAGCTCCAATCTTTCCCAACCAGATTTTGATTTTTTTTGTCCTTTGATTTTCCTTTTCACCGCGTGGGTTTCTTTGTAGGTGGAGAACCCTACAAAGATCCAAAGCAGAAATATTTCCACGCAATGCTGCGCGAGATCTGTCTTATTACACGACTTCTCCCCTGTCTCTGCTCAATGCCGTTCTGAGCCCGTCTAATTTTCGCCCATCAGGTTGGTTTTTAAGTTTCCCAGAACCCTAATTCTGATAATGGGTACCTCGTTTCAAGCTCAAAGTTTGAACTTTTTTAAATCATGTGGTTGGTCATCATGCTCATCAGGCAGGCAATGCATCTGAGACCGGGTATCTTTTCTAATTGATTACGATGCTTGACTGTAGTCTGTGGAAGTTCTGTTGTCGGTGAAGTTCTGAATGTCTCCTGTGGATTCTTCAGCTTGTTGTTTAGCTGGTGTTTGGTCTGAGCCCTCTAAATTCGGAAACGGCATTTTTAGTGGTGTAGGCATGATGTCAATACACGAATCTGATTCTGCCGGTCTCAGTTAGATGCCCTGTCTTGTGCTTTGTTCCTTCGTGTCTCTCTAATGGAAGACAATTCAGATAGGTACATTCTGTTTTGATTAGCGTGATTCATGATAAAAAGCCAAATTCTTTGGTTTTTCTATTTCTTATGAAGGTCTGGGAAGATTTCTTGTGTTTTCCCTAAACGAGAAGGCATATCTGATGGAAACATTGTATCAAAGCAGTAGAATTCATGGTTACAGAACACAGTTGGAGTGTTCGAGTTTTTCAGTTCTTTGATTTTTGTTTGTTGCAGGTGAATGAATTGGTACGGGTGGAAACATGGGATCTAGTCTTAACAACACCTTGTCTCAGACTTACAGCGGTTTGGAGCTGTGGGAAATCATTGTGATTGTTCTTGCTGTGGTATTTGTAGTAGTTCTAGCTGTATCACTATGGCTTACTTTCCGAAAGAAAACCTCAAGAGCTGCTACTCAAATCCCTCTGGCCCAGATCCCGAGTGTCCCGGAGGAAATTAAGGAGATAAGGGTTGACGAGGTTTCGTCAAGCAATGGCGAACTTCCCTCTATTAGCGATAAATTCCGTGATAAAGAACTTGAAAAGGTGGTCGTGCCAAACGCAGAGAACGGCGATAGCAGTAGCAGGTCAGGCTCCTTCACTAATTTGGAGAAAAAAGATGGGCTGGGCGTGTCTTCGTCTAATCCATTGACGGCTCCATCTCCTTTATCTGGTCTGCCCGAGTTTTCTCACCTTGGATGGGGGCATTGGTTCACTCTGAGAGATCTTCAAATGGCAACAGATCAGTTCTCGAGGGATAATATAATCGGTGATGGAGGATATGGAATAGTTTACCGTGGAACCCTTGTTAACGGAACTCCTGTGGCTGTGAAGAAGTTACTCAATAACCTGTAAGTTTTGGCTATCTATCACTTGAGGTTGTCTGAATTACTGGTTACAAGTTCGAGTTGTAGAGATCTTTGTGATTTGTGATGTTTTTTTCCTTGCAGTGGGCAAGCTGACAAAGACTTCAGAGTAGAAGTCGAGGCTATCGGTCATGTTCGTCACAAGAACTTGGTCCGTCTTCTGGGATATTGCATGGAAGGAACCCAAAGGTATGTCCTGCTGTTCTAGTTTTCTTTAGATCTGCTTCATAAGTCTCCACGGTATATTTCTTAACCGGAAAACTTTGAATTCAGGATGTTGGTGTATGAGTATGTTAACAATGGAAATCTTGAGCAGTGGCTCCGAGGAGACATGCACCATCAAGGGTATCTTACATGGGAGGCACGTATAAAAATTCTTATCGGAACTGCCAAAGCGTAAGTTGACTTGAATGGCATTCTTTGCACGTTTTTTCTCGGTTTTATGCCTTCATCCTCACGCCGAGATTACGGGTTATGCAGGCTTTCGTACCTTCATGAGGCAATAGAGCCTAAAGTGGTGCACAGAGACATAAAATCTAGCAATATACTCATCGACGAAAGCTTCAATGCTAAAATATCTGACTTCGGCCTTGCGAAGCTTCTTGGTGCTGATAAAAACTTCATAACAACCAGAGTTATGGGTACCTTCGGGTACGCTGACATCTCCTTTACATGTTTTTGTTTTTGAATAAAGGCTGTTTGTCGTTGCTTTTGAGAAATAACGTGCTGTTTCCATCCGATCAATGGATGTTTCTTCAGATACGTTGCTCCAGAATATGCTAATTCTGGCCTCCTGAATGAGAAGAGCGATGTGTACAGTTTCGGGGTTGTACTCTTAGAAGCTATAACTGGAAGATACCCTGTAGATTATGCTCGTCTGCCTCCTGAGGTATGTATACTGATAACTTATCCTCATGAGAACTCTCGTTCATATATTTCATCTTCATTGGTTATCGGTGTTCTGAAACATTAGGTACATTTAGTGGAATGGCTGAAGATGATGGTGCAACAGAGGCGATCAGAAGAGGTGATTGACCCAAACCTCGAAACAAAGCCATCCACCAGTGCCCTGAAAAGAACACTCTTGACGGCTTTGAGATGTGTCGATCCCGTGGCTGACAAAAGACCGAAAATGAGCCAAGTGGCACGTATGCTTGAATCCGAGGAATACCCTATTCCTAGAGAGGTACTACAAAGAGAAAAGTTCAAGACTTTGAATTCACAGAGATCTCTGTGAGCTTTTCTTGCTGAAATGGAGCGGTTTTTATGTTCAGGACAGGAGAAGAAGAAGGAATCAGACAGGGACCAGAGATTCAGATCCTCCAAGGAACAGCACTGACACGGACAAGAGTGATTACCACGACCCGAAGGTGATGTAGCTTTTAAATCAAGAACCAAAAGATGCCACATTCTTGGAGTATAAATCATTGAAAGTTCCGAGCTTTCCGGATCTAGGGCTTGACATTCCTCTTTCCCGGGTTCGGATTATGTAATTCTTTTACCAATAAAGAGAGGTTTCTTTGTATGAGTTGTGAGAAAGATGGTTAGTTTGTGCAATTGCCATATTTGTTAGGAGGATGGGTTTTTGTACAGGTTTGCCATGGTTGTATTGTTGTTTTGGGTTTCTGCATTTGCACTGTTTGTTGTTTTTGGACCGATAAAACGCCATTTGCAGGTTTGTAGGTTTTGATTTTGTGAGAAACGACGTGTAATTGCTTTGCTTGTGGAAAAATAGTCATGGTTTTCACACTTATCCCGGTTCAGCTTTCAATTATTTGAAAATAAATGAAAAAATGAACTAATCAAATATATTGTATTCGAATTTTAAATATTTCAATTATTTTGAGATAAAGATAATTTTTTTATGCAAACAGCATAAAAAAAAAAGATTGACCCGTAGAGATTTTATCGGATTTTATCTTTTAAGGCCATTTTTTTCATAAAATATTTTGGAATCCGTGCCAAAATTATTATTGGGTTTAAAATGAAGGCCCAAATTAATACTTCGGCCCAATTTTCCTCATCCACGGTTGACTTAGTTTGACTTTTACGCCACGTGGATATTAAAATAACTTTCTTTATTAATAACTTTTAACATACGGCAACTCGAATTTACTCGGTGGAATCTCTAGTGATGAAAACTAATCTTAACTTGAACAGGGATCCTCCTCTCGCCGTCTCCGATCAAAACGCCGTGATTCCCCGACGGCAAAATCCTGTATCCGACGGCGTCTACGATCGAAAAACTCCGGCAGACGTCGAACTCGAACCGGACATCCTCAGACTTCCCTGTCGGAACGAACACCCTCTCGAATCCGACCACTTGTTTCCTGTGGGTCCCATGGATTCCTCTCGGCGGCTTCGAGTACGCCATTATGACCTCGCTTCCGTCTCTCTTACCGATGTTTTCGACGGAGACTTTGACCGCTACCGTTTCCTTGCAGGGCAAGTCATCCACCACGACGGCCATGCAACCTTCGGTGGGTTCCTCTCCTGGGTCGGTGTAGTTTACGTGGCGACAGAGCTGGTTCTTGGAGATCTTGACGTGCACTGGTATGATCTGGTCGGAACGCGAGATCTCGTACTTGAAATCTGTGTAACTGAGTCCGTATCCGAACGGGAAAACTCCCGTTCCGTTGTAGAACTTGTATGTCTTTCCAGGAAACCCTTGCTCGTTGTCTGGACGTAGTTTCATGTACGTCATCGGAAGTTGCTGTGCGTAATCCGCTTCGTACCATGTCAATGGCAATCTCCCACCTGAACTCGAAAATGGAATTTGATCAGATTGTCAGTCCTTATGTTTCAGAAAGTTTGAATCTTTTATTGGATAAGAAGATATACCTGGGTTGTAGTGTCCGAAGATGACGTCAGCAATGGCACGGCCGCCTTCTTGGCCAGGGTAACCGGCCCAGAGGATGGCTGTGATATTGGGGTGGTTCTTGGCAAACGTTATGTCGACTCCTCCGCCCGACATTACAACCAGAATCACCGGACCTTTCGCCATTTCGGCCACCTGAACGATGAGCTCTTTCTGATAACCGGGCAGATTCAGGTCCAGCCTGTCCAAATCCTCAGCCTCTGCAGTCAAGTCCAACCCGGCGACAATCACGGTCGCGTCTGCGTTCCTAGCCGTCTGAGCCGCCGGAAAAACCAACGTCCGATTCTTGCAGAGCACGTCACCGCAACCCGCAGAGAATGTGACGTTTGCAAATTCGGAGAAGCCCTGAATAGGAGAGATGTACCGGCAAGGGACGCCGTGATAGTTTCCAATCATGGCTATAGTGGCATTAGCGTGAGGTCCGACCACCGCCAGGTTCTTGTACTTGTCGGAACTCAGAGGAAGAACATCGTCGTTGTTCTTCAGTAGAACCATTCCTTCTTTTGCCGCCTCTTCGGCGAATTTCATGTTAGATTCTGAGCAGACATCGGATTTCGTCAAGGATGCAAATTCAGGTCGGCCATCGAAGAACCCAAGCCTCATGAGCACAACGTAGAGATTCTTGAGTGACTCGTCGACCAATGACTCACTGATCTGACCTTGGTAAACCGCGTTCTGCAAAGCCATCCTGTACGAACCACCACAGTCCAAATCCAGACCTGAAAAAACCGAAATCGGGACAGAACCCATCGATCAAAACAAGTACGGAAGAATATCAAAACAGTTCGTGCAGGTTTAATTACCTGCTTTGAGAGATTGCGAAGCTGCGTCCTCGAATGTATCGCCGAGCCATTTGTGAGCTTTGACCATGGCGTCAACTGAATCACAGTCAGCGACGATGTAACCATGCAAGTTCCAGTCTCTTCTAATGGTGTGCTTCAATAGCCTGTGATCCGCACAAGTGGGAATGCCATTGACACGGTTGAACGAACACATGACACTGCTCGCATCTCCTTCCTTCACACACATCTCGAACGGCATCTGAAATGTCTCCATCATGTCTTGCTCCGTAACCTTGAATCAAGACCCAACATTGAACCAAACCAAGATCAGATACAGAGATTGAACAATCGAGATGAGGTACGGGTTTTTGTTCCATTCCTTACCCTCGCGTCGAAACTGTATCTATCGACACCCGGCCACCTATCGATGTCGTATGCAGTGTAATGCTTGCAGCAAGCAGAGACTTTCAATGGTCTGAAGTTCAGATCTGTCGTGTTTCCCGTCCCTTCGATGTCTTGTAACCCTCTGACAAAATTCGAGGCGTAAGTCCCGACCACGTAAGGATCTTCACCCGGTGTCTCCAAGATCCTTCCCCACCTCGGATCCCTCACCACGTTTATGTTCGGGCTCCAGAACGTTAAACCGCCTTGTCCCACGTTGTGCATCGCTCTTGCCTCACTTGAAATCACCTGCCGAGAAACCGAGAAAAAACGGCGTTTTCCGAAACGTTCTAGTCATCCGAAATCGTATCGAACTTAAGCAACACAAACACTTGCTTACTTGTCCAATCTTCTTCCAGAGCGTGCGGTTAAACGAGGCGGCTGAGTTGATGACGAGGGGAAAGCTGGTGGCGCCTGGGACCGCACCGCCGAAAGTGGAGCCACCGCCGGTGTCAGAGACGCCGTGAAGAGCCTCGGACCACCACTCGTACGCCGGAAGGCCGATCCTCATGACGCCGGTGGCGTTATCTCCCATCTGCTCAACCTTTTCGGACAGTTTCATCCGAGCGACGAGATCCTTAACCCTAACGTCGAAAGGAAGAGACTTGTCGCAGTAGGAGAATTCCGACATGTCCAATCCAATGTTTCTGAATCTGACGGGATCGCAGACATGCGTGTAGTTCAGAGGAACATCTCCTAGTATGACTGCAGAGGAAGAGACGGCAAATGACAGGAGAAGAAGAAGAGAGAGAATCAACTGTCCCATTGTTTTGGAGCAGAGGAAAGTGAAGGTGAAGGAGAGAGGGTGAGGTAGAAGGGGAGAGGGCTTTGAGGGCTTATATAGTTTTTTTCCAACGGGAAGTTAGAGATATCTAGTGATTTCTTTGTAGATATTTAGTGATTTTATGAAGATAATGTAAGAGATAAAAATGGATTACGTAAAAACAAGACAAGACTCGTTCAATATTTTGTTTAAATTTTAGTTTAAAAAATGAGATTATTATATGAATGATGTTTCATTAGACGAAATTAAAGTATATGCAAATACGACCCTTTTTCCGTCTGTTCACAACAGATTTTCAAGATCCAAGGAATTTGGAATATTTAAAATATCTAATGTAAAATATTTCAATATGCATAAACAATGTATATTTACAAATATCATGCACTTTATGATCTCTAGTTCAATTCTATTTACAGATATCTTGTTTTTATTTTTCAATATAAAAAATATTTTTTATTGGATTCATCTTTAAGTATTAAGTATATAATAATTGATTTTAAATATAAAACTAAATATCGATTGAAATTTGTATTATTTACGGTTGAATATTTAGCAATTCACTTTAGAATTTTTATATTTTTAAACATTGTATTCGTTAAATCTTATTTTCTGACTTAGATTAAGTATTATTTGGTTTGATGATATATAGCTAAATATGTTGATGTCACATAATATGGTGCGTATAATAGGAAAAATCCCAAAATAATATTTGAAATTTTCAATTTTCACGAAATAAAACCTAAATTTTTTTTATCAAATAAAATCTCAAACTTCATTTTTCAATAAAAAATAAACCCGAACTTTATAATCTTTATCATTTTTAACCTGCTCATATATCGTTTCGATATCGTGACATGTGGACAATGATGTGTCAAATACGGTCAAAATATTGACTTGTCACATAGGATATCGAAACGACGCGTCAACAATAAAGTTAAAAATGATAAAGATTATAAACTTCGGGTTTATTTTTTATTGAAAAATAAAATTGAGGTTTTATTTGATAAAAATTGAGAAATTCGGATGTTTTTTTAGGATATTTCCACATATTTTTCCACGTATAATATGATAAAGCCAATCATGGAGCTATCCGCACCAATTTTTTTTTAGTTGGACAAAAAAAATGAGAAAAACAAGCAACTTTATTTGAATGATTATTATTATTTATTATAATATTAACTTAGCCGACATTTGGAAGATACGGACGATATGGTCCAAAAGATCCTTTGGGGAATATAACACAAATCTCCAAAAGCTGCTCACATGTGCCCTCACCCTCTCCAAGTCAAACCTTCCTGCATTTCATTTTCTTTTTCAACATAATATTTACTAATTTATTTCCTTCAAATTTTACTCATTAATTTCCTAAAAAATCACTTTTTACTATAACCATGTAGTTCAATAATGCTGATTCAATAGTAAATTTTAAAATACCAATTCAAGATGAATAATTTTTATAATATTTTGTTTTTTGTAGTGTTGTGTGTTATAATTTCAGTAGTTAACTCAGAACATTTAAACATTTTCCATTTATGTTCTGAAATCAAGATATTTATCATCAAACATTAAAAACATATTTTCGTGTTTTATCGGAAAAATCTCATTTGATTTTTTTTTTGTATGGTATTGATTCAAGTTTTACAAACATTTGTTTGTGTCACGGTAGAATATGATCCCAACGTCAATGAGATATATCCAAACCGTATGTGTAGTAATAATAATAATAATAATAATCATCTTACATCACATTGTTGTAGCGCTAAGCCTAAAAAATATACGAAATATTTCAATAAAATTTTGTAAAAATAAATATGAAAAAACTATAGAGGGGTAAATTAAATTACAGAAAAATAATAAAACAAAATTGTAGCACCGTTCGCCTCAACCTAATAATTACAGAAATATTCACAGAGTCTGTAATTAAGAATAACCCTATATACTGAATAGAGATAAAACTGGCCATATCGAACAAAAATAATATCAACAAATATCAAATTCATTTAGTTATATTTGAATCTCCACTATTATATTTTTATCTTGTTGTATAATTTTTTTTAACTCCAGAATTGGGGTTTTCTTCACCAACTACATCAAAACAGATCTCAGCCGTCAGAAATTAGACAAATGCCTTTTTGTAGCCGTTGGATTGGTCATGTATAATCGATCCTCAGTGGTCTCTCTTTTTTTTCCAACGATGTCTTTATTTATTTATTTACTTTTGCCATATGCCTTTTAAGTGATGTAAAGTCAAATTTTTATTAACCAGAACAGATAAACTATGGCAGTCCTCCTCACGCGCCCTCCAACGCAGCTAAACTTCACGCGCCATCATAATCAGTGTATATGAAAATCATTTGCTTAATTAATTTTTCACAAAATCTAGATTTTATTGAATCAAAATCAGAAAATGTTTTTTTAAATAAATGCTAATTACACTGTTTAATATAAGATATCCCCAGTATGATAAGATGTTTTAACAAAAAAAAAAAATTGTTTTGCATAGATGTACCAAAAACTTTGTTGTTTGAATACACATACAAATAGAAAATACAAATATTTTTGCCCATACTATTATTAAAGAAAAACAAAAGAACAAAATAGTCGGTTGCTAATGAATAGGTTTACATCAAATTAATTTGGACAATTATAACAATTATCATGTTTGGTACGAATTTGCAATTACAGCCCACAATTTTTATTTATCTATAATTATTTTCGTAATAAAAATTCAATTAGTTTTGTAATTTACACTTTTTTCAGAAAATAATTTTATTCCGTAATTTCAAACCAATAAATATTGATTTTTTATAACAGAATCTCATACAACACTCAATTAAATATCATGATTTTTTTTAATAAATATGTTTAGTACATTGACATATATATACCCACAAATTTAATATCTGTTTTTAATGAATACAATCATCTTTTTAAACATTATTTATTATCCACATCCAAAAATCCAACTCGAGTGATGGATAATAGAAAATGCCATTACACACATATTATTGAATTATCACATTTTTACAAAAGAAAGTTTTTTTTTTATGGAAAAGTTAGAGGTTTTCGTTCTTGAAAATATTTACGATTTGATATTTTGTCCGTATTTTAAAATATATAACATGGAAAAGAAAAAAGATTAAATAAATAAAAGTAAATAAAAATAAGGGAGGTTATTAATTATAGTTTGGCGCGTATATTAACCACCACCGGCGAAACGACCACAAAAAAGGCGAGCACGCATAAAGAAAGATCAAAACCTCCCCCAATCCCATCACTTCCAAAATTAAAAATCCCTGCAAAAAAAAAAAGTGTAATCACAGTAAAAAAAAAACACAGAGCGTGAAGCGAGAGAACGAGCGAGTGAGAGAGAGTGGTGTGAAGGCGAAACCTCGATCTGGGTTTTGTCCTTTTTTCTTCTTCTCCGTCTCACCCTCGTTTTCCCGACACTCCCATTTGATCGGAGCTCGCGCATTCCGAAGAGTTTCCTCCGACGTCGCTGTGTCGCCGTCGGTGACGAGGTTAGGGCATAATGGAGCGGTACGGTCGCGGCGGAGAAGAAGGGTCGCGGTCGGATCCATCGCCGGAATGGTCAGGTCCAGGAGGTGAAACCGGCGTCGAAGGTAACGTAACGGTTCCGGCATTAATTGTGTTCTATCTGGTTAATGCTGTGATTTCGGGGTTTTAATCAAACGATTAAGGCGACTTTTTGTGGGTTTTTTTTTGTTCTTCGTTGCTTGTATAGCCTCGATGTGGCGTTTAGGGTTGCGAAGCGGAGGAGAATCGTACCCGGAGCGACCCGACGAGCCCGATTGTATCTATTACTTGCGAACTGGCGTTTGCGGGTACGGGTCGAGGTGTCGGTTCAATCACCCACGAGACCGTGGAGCGGTAATCCCATTTGGATTTCCCCTTTGTTTTGCTTCTTTAATCATTTTCGATTCCTAGGTTTTGAATCGCTCGATCAGGGACCTTTGTCCGATCCCTGAATTCTTGCTTGATGGGTCCGATCGTAAATTCTGGTGTTTTGGTTCGAGGGCATTGCTCTTTTTTCTTACTTCTCCTAAAGTTTAGGTCTTTTATCTGTTCTAAGCTTCCATTTGATGTATTTGCCGTCTCTGCTGCTGCATAAATGGTGATTTCAGGTCATGGGAGCTGCTAGAGGAGATGCGGGAGAGTTCCCGGAGCGTGTGGGACAGCCAGTGTGTCAGGTACTACTAATCTTTGATCACTTCATCTGATGGTCTTTGACTGGGAATGACTATTCGGCAATGCACTTCGTTTTGTTTCCATTGAGACCATAACCCATATCTGTTCTGTGTTCAACGTTGTGATCATTACCTATTTGTGTTGTTCCTCCGTCCTAAAAATTCCACAATTGTTCTCGTCTCTGCAGCACTTTATGAGGACCGGAACGTGTAAGTTTGGTGCTTCTTGCAAGTATCATCATCCAAGGCAAGGAAGCAGTTCGGGTGCCCCTGTGATGCTTAATTATATGGGATATCCATTACGTCCGGTCTGTACAACTCTTTCCGACTGTCTGATCGCTCTTTTCGGTATTGGTTTTATCGATCTTTTCCTCGATGTTGTATGGTATTCTTAAGTTTCTGTTAAATCGATGATAGGGGGAAAAAGAATGTTCCTACTACATGAGAACGGGTCAGTGTAAATTCGGGGCAACCTGTAGATTCCACCACCCCGTCCTTCCCGGTGTACAGGTGCCTTCTCCACCACCGCTACCCGCTGCCCAGGTTTCACCTGTGGCTGCTCAAGCTATTTATCCGGCTGTTCAGTCTCCATCTGTTCCTTCGTCCCAGCAATACGGTGTGGTTATGGCCCGGCCTCCCCTTTTACCCGGTTCATACGTTCAAAGCCCTTATGGACCGATGGTTCTTCCTCCTGGTATGGTTCCATACTCAGGGTGGAACCCATATGCGGTATGTTTTGTGCAAACCCATTTCGATCTTCTTCACTCTATTAATCTTAATCTCCATTCCCTGTTTTCTTTTGTGAAGTCTTTTCCCCTTTTCTGCTGTTCATACTGTTGTAGGCTACTGTAAGTGCCATACCCTCTCCAGGGACTCAACCGTCTATTGGATCGAGCTCCATTTACGGGATTACACCGTTATCTCCTTCAGCGCCTGCATATACAGGACAGTATCAGTCCGGGCCTTCTAATCTGGGCCCTTCAAGTACCCAGAAGGAACAGTTGTTTCCTCAGCGGCCCGGTCAACCTGAATGCCAATACTTTATGAGGACGGGTGACTGTAAATTCGGATCCTCATGCAGATATCATCATCCTCTGGATGCGGTTCCACCGAGTTCAAGCCTTATTCTCAGCCCCATCAGCCTTCCAATCCGTCCTGTAAGTTTTTTCTTTTCTCGTTTTTTCTCGCTGATGAGAAACTTCATAGAAGGCTCTGTTTCTTCTTGCCTCATCTGCATCAGTCAGCTTTGCGTTGTTAAAAGTGAAAAACTTTAGTGATCAAAGATTAGAGTTTTGAGTTTTCATATGCATAATACTCTTTAGAACCCGTCCTGCGTCTCTCTACAAAAGAATGAATCTGCATTGTTGAGTTTGGTACGAGAAGTTTCATACAAGACACTGCATCACACCATGAAAAACAAAATCGAGACTTTATGGTAGATTTCTCATGATCGGTTATAAAGTTTTGAACTTTCATACCGAGCCATAAAAAACGGAAACCATATCTTGTTGCAGGGCGCACCACTATGCACTCATTTTGCCCAACACGGCATCTGCAAGTTTGGACCTGTCTGCAGGTTCGATCACTCCGTGGGCTCGCTCAGCTACAGCCCCTCTGCTTCTTCACTCACTGACATGCCGGTTGCACCCTACCCCGTGGGTTCTGCACTTGGCACATTGGCCCCATCATCATCCTCGTCAGACCTACGACCAGAGCTCATCTCAAGCTCAAGCAAAGAAACTGTCTCCCCAAAGGCCACAACAAGCGGCTCTGAGACAGCTCCTGCCAGTGCTACTGTGCCATCACCAACCGTTGGTCTGAGCCACCCAGAGCCACCTGCTCAGACGGCTGGTGACACAGCCGGCATCATCAGCAGTAGCAGCAGCTTCGAAGCTCGGTCTTCATGCTAAATGGCAAGATTTCAAAGGCAAATCTCTCTGTTCCTCGATATATATATTTATATATCTCCTCACCCTTACCTTTTCTTCATCAAACATCACATAGAAATGCTTTTTTGGGGGGGCTCGACAGAACGGAACCGGAGACCAAAAGCTCCGGTCTGTGTTCGCTGCCTGGGACATAATGTCCTCTTAGGTCTCTCTGCCATGTCCATATAGAACCCCCTCCACCCCCCTATACGGCCATTACTATATCTCCCTCTCTTCCCTTTTTTCCCCCTCTTTTTGGGAACGAAGAATAATAAATGGCCCTCCTGGAAATCCCCAGTTATTGTTCTTTCCAAAGACTATTGAATCTGAGAACTAACTTAAGCTTCTCAGCAAGGGAAA